AAACACCTCTTTTTCTTCTTATTTTTCTTTTTTGTTTATAAAAGGTGGGTCCCACCACCTCTTTGACTCAGCCAATTAAAAGGTCAAATATTACATGTTTAGTCGGAATTTTTCCCCGACGAAATACTTTCACCGAAAGTAGTTCATTCGGCTTTTAATTGAAGAAGATCGGGGTCTTGCGCTAACTCTGGACAGAAAATATCCGGGCGACTAAAGGAATCGACAACTTTATACATAATGGGTCTATACAGACACGAATTGTACTAGAATTCAATCGACGACACAATTCGGAAAATACAGACTCGAGAAAGCGATCAAATGTAAACAAACTATGTTAGAATTTAATCGACAACGCCGTTTGAATACACAAGAGACATTAGGCCGAAATTTAATCGATGACACAGCATTTGGGATAGAGATTATAAGGCGGAATTTAATCGACGACGCAAATTGAAAAGCTACAACTAAGAAAATAAAGTGTAATGTAGGAAAGTAATGTACTGAAAGATAATAGATTTTTAAGCTTTATGCAGCGGGGGGGAAGGGGGGCCTCTCTAGTTGGATGTCTGGTGGTATTTATAATGATCCAATAGTAATTGCCTTTCGATAGTTTCCAGCAGTTGCATTTCCTCGAGTTGTTTCTATCGATGGCCTTCACCTCCATTCCTGAAAATTCGGTGTCAACATCTTCATGATGCTACACTAATGCTTTTAAGCCTTTGCTTTTGTCATACTACATGATAACTGCCCCACGATCTTGTCCTCGATGGTTATTGACATTTTCATGAACCTATCTTCAAGCAGAAACTATTCCCTCCGAAAGTGTCAGCTCATTTCTTCTTAATCTCAACTACTTTGCTAATTTTGAACTTTGTGGTCACATTTCGATGTTCTTCAAGTAGACATCTGCTAGTGGCTCCATCATCCTAATTGCTTTGTCTTGACCGGTGACTGAACTCCTATGTTTTTCATGCTTTCAAAGGACTTTATTGGCATTTTACTATTCGCCTATCTATATCAATAGCTACTAAGTACTAGTTATTCATTGTCGTATATCGACAACCAAATATGTACCAGGATATGTATCAGCATCGACCGTTAGTCTCCATGATCGCCGGATGTCACATGTGTAACAATGTTCACATGTTATTCAAGTGACTAATGCTCGTGCCGTAAGCACATGCTTGTCCATCTCAACAATTCGATGGTGTAAACACAATGAAGAATATACGTAGTCATCAATCAAATTATTTAGCTGGGGTTCAAGTTGTTCTCTGGTTCAAGTCATCAATCAAATTGGTTGCTCAAATCCTCAAAAGACCTATCGCAGCCAAATTCGCCGGGCAGAAATGCTTTCGAGATTACGTCTTCATTAAATAGTTAGAAAGGTCTTCTCCCATGGGTGAATCCCTTGTGTGGGACTCTTGCAACTACTTAATTAGCCCTCTGCGTTTCAAAAGCCTATTCTGTGGGTAAAAATACCAACATCTATATTTTTTTCTTGTTTTTTTTCAATATTTTTGTTTTCCCTTGTCCTTATCGTATTCGAAGAGGAGGTAGACATGCATGGACTGAACATGGTAGCCCAGTGGCACGAGTTCACAGGTTCAAATCATGTCGTAAGTAAAATCCATGGCCAACTTGCGCCTGTGCATTTGTTACTTCATATAGCGAGATTTCTTTACCATTGCTCAAATCAAGCATTTCATAGTAAGTGTGAGATTCTTATGATAACTCTCAAAAGAGCAGTCGTCCCACCTTATGTGGAGTAAAGGAAATCGAAAGAATAAATTATAGGATAATCAAATTGAGGCAAGAAACCTTGTAGGAAGTTATATAGTTGTTTCCGGCCACCATTCGAACGGCTTAAGCAGAAATACTACTTCTAGGTTACATGCATAATACGAACGCGATAAGTTTTCTTAAATTTTGAGCTCGAATTTGAAAAACAATGCATAAAAGTAATATAACAAGGGGAGCCATAATAATCATCTGATTGTTTCCGAATTTTTGAAATTTTTATAGCTCCAGCAAAATGAATTAAAGAGTTCATTTGTGAAGAGTTGCGTCTCTTCCAAATTAAACTTGAACCTTGTAAATTACAACGAGAAAAAACTGATAAATATTTCTCACTAACAAAGAAATCACCGATTCCTGGACTTTCTATCATTACCATGTTCAATGCATAAAAATGAGTATAAATCTTGACAAATGTTCTCTGCCGACCCAACTAAATTCTCTTTTTCAATCCTCCCAAAGTTGTACTCTTCCGATAATTTCTGTTGATTAATTTATTCTTGTTTACTATAAAATTATGCTAATTGATGTCGGACTGCGAAATCAATTGATAAAAAGAATTACCCATATATTTATTTAGTTTGTTAAAAGGCCATTTTCTTTTATTTGGCTAATAATTTCAAAAGAAATGCGTGCAATGCACCGGCAATAAAACTAGCCACGAGAAATTCAGCTTTCAGATTCGAATGATAATAATCTCTAAAAAAAATATTAAGTGAGTTTTATAGGTAAATGGATAAAAAGTGAGCATAGCGAATGACAACATTATATCTTTATAAGTTTCTGGTTATTTGTCGAGTGGTTGCTTTAATTACATCTTTCTATTGTTTAAGCCTCTTCTGCATTTGAGGGGAAAACACTATTTTATCGCACTTTCTTCCTCTTTTCAAAGCTATCCCTGCTTAAAAAAATGTTAATAAGTAAGTTATCCTATCCTGTTTTTGTCCACCATCCACTCTTCCTTTACTAATGAAATAAATCACCTTACTTATTTTTGTATTTGGGAAAGAGGGGATAATGGCATCGTTACTCCCCGTGCTTTTGTTATTTGTTCAATCTCATCCATATATATATTTTTCTTTCGCCAATGCGAGCTCTGAACAATTTTTTTTTTTAATTCAAGTTAGTTCTTCCTTTGAAAAAGTATGACATGGCTGTTTAACCGCTGGTATGTGATGACATGGTGCTGATGTTACATTTTACATGACTTTTAAAGAAAATCAAAATAATATAAAACAAAACCCATCAATTAAAATTCCAGAAACGGGAAAAATGAAAAAGAAACCGAGAGAGAAAGAGATTGCTAAACCCAACAAGCACTTGCTTCACTCGTTGGGGTCGGTGGCCACGATCCGGTGGCGGCTGGGGTCACACAACCTCAGGCGAGATCGGTCTTGTCGGGGTTGCATGACCCCGATGACAGCCGGGCCCGGGGTCGAACGACCACAGCAATCGCTTGGCTAGGGTTGCTCAACCCTAGCAAGCCAAGTTCAGGGGGTACTACCGTTACTTCTTTCTCTAACTCTATCGCCCTCTGCCTCTGTATGTGTTTGTGCTTTGATCGAAGGTGGCGGCTGTCATGCCGTCGTGGGCCAAAGGCAAGCAATATTTTATATTGCTTGGGTGCCACACAAACCGCCCCTCCCCTCTCTTCTGGGTTTGTTTCATATTGCTAATATTTTAATCCAAATGACAGAAATTATCCTACTAACGATGATTTGACACTGACATGACGGTCCACGTTGATATTTCAATTTACATTTAAGAAAATTTCAAATAAAAATCCAAAATACATTAATTTTCTTAAATAAAGACATGGAGTTGACTCTCTTTTTTTTTTTTTTAAATAAGGGCATGAAACGAATTTAATTTCAAATAAGAGTTTAAAGTGGCCATTCTCAAAAAAGGGCCTCACCTCATCGGGGTCAAGAGCATTTTCGTTTTTTAATTTTTTTGATCTATTTCCTTTTTTCTTTTCTATTTTTTTCTTTCCATAAAAAAATCAAAAAAGAAAAATAGCTAAAGTTTAAAAAGAAAAAAGAAAAAAAGGAAGAACACAGGAGGAGCTTGAGGCCACGAGAGGGTGTCACGGCCCTCGCCCAAAGCCGGCAAGGACCGCGACGCCCTCGCCTAGTGCTAACGGGAATCCAAATAAAAAGTAAAGAAACAAAAAAAATTATAAAAAAATTCAAAAATCATTAAAAAATGTCCGCATTAACTCCAATCATGTCATGTCGAACGGTCAATGCCCACGTCAACGATTTCCAATCAAAATTAGCCGAATAAACTCAATTGACAAAAGGTAAAAAGGTTTAAGTTTCAATTAACACAATTGAAAAGTTTAAAATGAATTACAGTAGATTTACAACTTTTGAGACAATTTTTCCTGTATTTTTGAAATATTGGCACGATTGGCAATCGTGGGCTGTTTGTTCCAATTAAATAAAAGTAACCGTAAAAAATTGCAGTTTGTTCATATAAAAAAGAACCTTTTTCAGTATCTATATCGTGAAATGAAAATAGTTTTTATTTTCATTTTTTTTCTTAAAAAACATATCTGGTCAATGAAAATGCAAATTTTGCATCGACATTAAAAATTGTAAGCATATGATTTATACTCAATGGATAATACAAAAGAGACTTTATTTGATATCCCAAACTCCTGTGTTTTCTTTTGGAACCAAAATAATTAAAAGCATCAAAGAATGGTCGTCGATTACTTTTAACTTTGAACAAAACTCCTTAATTTTGTTCGAAAATAGTTTCAAAATGCTGCAAAACCCCATCTTCAAAACCTCATAATTCTCAAACGAATATGAAAACTCGAAAAATTACGAGAACCAAACAGGCCAGTTGCACGAATTATTCACGTGTGATTTTTACGGAAAAAAAAAACAGGTTAAAGTACGTAATGTCCATATGTTACATACGATTTAAATCTTACAATTCTAATACATATTTCTACTTCAAACCTGAAGCCTAAAAACAGACACTCCAGCCAAAGAGCCACCCCAATACCCTCTCAGAACACTGACCCGATTGATCACCATTCACCGCCACTTCACCACTCGGACAAGCTCGAGTCAACTATGCAATCATAGATGTACGAATACAGCCGTATACGTATAGTATGTTTCGCAAGTCGTAAGAGAAACAGAACTTGCAAAAATAGGACAAGGCAGCTTTCAAGCAACTAAAAGAGATTATCTTGAATAGCACTCCGAGCAATTCTAATCTACCAAGAAACTTTACATTATTTGATTCGTAAAGAAAATACTGATACATCAGGTGTCGGTTACGTTTCTTCTATTGAACACATGATCACAAATAAATCAGAAAATAATCTGCAAATTCCCACCATGGTTTTACCAATCAATCCCCAGTTCTCTTGAAAGAAAGAGTCTGTTGATGTAAAGAATGACGGGTTCTGAAGCAACAATGTAATCCTGCATATGAGTCTTCGCCGAGTTCTCTGCGAGAAGAATCGTGTTTGAGAAGAAAGCCACCATTATTGAATCCAGTCATACAAACTCAAGCAGTAGGGCAGCATCACATCTCTGAATAAACTTACTACAATCTCATATCTTCATTCAAAAATTTTATTAGTTATCTTCATTCACTCTATCTGGCCCTTACTAACATGAAAACCATCACACTACTCCTCAAACATAGTCAATCTGGAGTACATGTTGCCTTCTATATATTATCTGTATCGAAATTCTATCTCCAGAAATTAAACTTGTTAACAAGTTTCTAATTTCTTTCAGCTATGTTCAAACATACTATTACATCTATCTTCTTTTATGCAACTAAAAGATTATACTTATTCCAGCTCCATTATCAAGTATCAAAAGAAGCCTCCACATAGTTGGAAGTTTGGGTCTGGTGAAAATGGCAGCAACAAAGCATTTTCTTCAGAGAATGCACCTACAGATTCAAGTCCACATGGCCACCATTTTCTCCTTTTTTAACAAGACCCGGAGTTCTTTAAAAGGTTGTATTTAATTTACTTTCAATTCTCACACACATGGACAAGGGATCAAATTTTGCCAAAGTGGCAAAGCTTCTTGTTTGCAACAACAAGAAGCGGGTTCAAAGCTACATGTGGACATGTTCCAGGGTTTTCCCAAAAAAGAAAAGCACTTAGACAAGGCCAAGGGCATATAGGATTTCCAACAGAGAAAAGACATGGGGAAACAAAAATCCAGAGGAGATGTTTTGTCTTTTAAAAATCAGCGTTCTCCCCGTAGGATCAACGAAATTCTTAGAGCCTTTGATGACATGAAAAATCATCATTTTCTATGCCTCAGATGATCCAGAAGTCTTTTTATTTTATAGGACAAATAACACCAATTTGGTATAACGCCACACTGGCAAATTTGCTGATCCAATGACAGAGACTGATGCTCAGCACTAGAACAAATAAAGCATAATGTCATTCATTGAAGCCGTCCCTGCTTTACAAGATATTTAAATGGTGTCACCCAGACCCCTGTACTAAATATAGTGGCTCATTCCTTCGTATGAAATTGACAACTGATGCAAGGATTAATCCACGCTTACTACATTAATATATGATTGTCAAATTTGTTTTCTAGCTATGCATCTTACAGTTTAGGAGTAACGACATACTTGCCCTGGATGCTACAGCTTCCAATGGTAATCCACACTTTCGCATCATATACCTTCTTGATTTTTCCAAAATAAAACATCATTGCCGAGACTTGCAAATAATGAGCCAGAGAATTTTAAAGCTGATCATGCATCTATTCTATATTGACATTTATTCCTTTAAGCACTTAATAATTGATCAGAGCAGATGATACGTTGATAATGATTCTATGTACCTACTTTTCTTCCTCTACCCAGATAGTGTACTGCAAATAGTAGAATGGCTCCAAAATCAATGGATTGGCATAAAGATAATTGATGTTAGAAACAGAATGTCAGAAACAGAGGAGCTAACCAGCACTCCAGAAAACATGGTTTACGTATCTCTGGGCAATTTTCCTAATTGTTCCGACAAAAAAAAAAGAAGAGAGGAGGGAGGAATGAAATAAACAGTGCTATAAATACATACAAACTCACCATCCTCACTGAGTTTCTTCAATAACTGTGCCTTTGTGGGAAGGGCATACATCCCTGCAGCTACAGCTTTCCTAATAGCCCACCCATGGTGAGGAGCAAAAACCTGTGCGTAAGCCTTGGAGGCTGGATCCCTTAAGGAATTCCCCCTACCAAAAAGATTAACAAACCATAAAGATCACCCATAACAACATAAAAAAGCAATGTCAAGTGCATTACTGGAAATAAGATGGAATAAGCAAACAGATCCAAAACATTTTCACCCCCTATTTAGTTTTAATCCTTCCTGAACTCCATAAACCGACATCCTTCTCTATCTCATGTCTTCCTCATCCTCCTCTCATTGTAGTGTCCCCATTGTAGAACTACATTTTGTAGAGGCATATTGACTAGACATATCCGGTGTATAAACCACTTTAAATGAGCCCCTCCCATCCCATTCTCAACGTAGTGAACTTTGTCTCCTCTCTTGCTCCACAAAAGTCCCTATCCTATAAAAATTCTTTTGGAACGGGGGTCAATGGGTTGTTAGGAGGTGCCCTTCTGGGCTTCATGAAATCATGTTCACTTGAAACAAGTTGAATATGGAATCAACAAGGACAATGAAAAATTGAGCAAATGATATAACACAATTTCAGTTTTCCTTCCCCCGCTACTTAATATCATTAACAGTTCAGGAAACACACATTTGCTAACTGGTCTCATTTGCGTGCAAAGAAGTCTCATGGAGAAACTTAAACTTTGTTAACATACTCTGATACGAGAATTTGTTCAAAGAGTACCCTGACCATGTCCAGGCCGCGCTTCACCCTCAGAAGATTTCTCGAATGGCTACCGGCTTTCCTGACGCAGTCCCTTTCCATATCATGATCCAGCAAAGCCTGCAAGGTCACGATCGACTTGGATGCGTCCGCCAGATCATGAACCTGTTTTTTCACCGGAAAAGGAAAAAAAATTGCAATAAGGGGGCACCAACAGCAAGATGATCATCCATCACATAAATGGTCAATCAAAAGATTAAAACTTGAAAAGGCAAACGGTGTAATTTGCAAAATCCAAAGAAGGGTGATCAGCAAATCCCCATTCAAACCCCAAAAATCACCTCTAGTGAATATCATTCTTCAGGAGAAGAGTTACAGAATCGCAGGAAGATGCCTGAAGCCAGTCATTAGGACCAGCTCCTTACGTTAACAAAGCAAGAGTATTCGCAGGCCATTAGAATTCATTCGTTCGATCATAAGTCCTTCATCAACTATCAGCTCAGCCGTCAAACCCTGATGCCATACGGTTCCACAACCTAACGAATTTCAACCTCGATGATTGCGAGGGAGCCGGGGAAATGAATCTAACACGCATTTAAGTCGCAGCCCTCGGGATCGGGCGATGATACCTTGGCGACGTAGTCCATCTCGGCGAACTTGAAAGCGATGCCGAGGCAGCCGAAGAGCGGGGACACGAGGGAGCAGGCGGTGGAGAAGGGCGCGACCTCGACGCCGACGCCGCCCGCCGCCGCCGCCGCCGCCTGGGAGTCCACGGCCGCCGCGAGCTCCTTGAACGACCGCCCGATCTTCCTCAGCGGCCTGTCGTCGTCGCCGCCGCCGAGCTCGGCCATTTGATCGGAACGGGCGATTCCAACCGGAGCACAGCTCTCTCTCTCTCTCTCTCTCTCTCTCTCTCTCTCTCTAAATTCGGAGTCGTCGCTGGTGCGATTATGACGACGATGTTAGGCGAAGGAGAAAAAGGGTGGTTCTCGCGTGACGTCACTCGATCGATTGGTCTTGTCGATTTTATATAAATTTAGGATAATACCACGAAAAACCCAAACGATATATCTGCGATAAATTTATCCCAAACTAATTTTTTGATCACGAAAAATCTCAAACCTAAGACATGTAACAATTTTACACGCACTAATGTTTTGACCACGAAAAATCCAAAACTCCAGACACTCACGATAATTCACTGAACTAATTTTTTGACAACCAAAAATCCTAAACTAAGACGCATGTGACAATTTTACCCTCCGTTAGTTTCCGTTAAATTTTATGGTCAAATTGCTGAGTTTGATGACACGTAATAGTTGGACGGTGTACCACTTGAGGTTTTACCCTTATGTTTGTCACAAGTTTACGAATTTGTGATTTTTCGTGACATTAATATAATTTAACGGAGTGTACATTTATCACAATTATACCAATTTTTGATTTTGGTGGTTAAAAAATTAGGTCATGGTAAAATTGTCAGAAATGTACTAATTTGGGGTTTTCGTGGTCAAAAAATTAGTTTGAGGTAAATTTATCACATGTGTACCAGTTTGCGGTTTTGTAATCAAAAAATTAATTCGGGGTAAAATTGTTATAAATATTTCAGTTTGAGTTTTTACGTGGTATTAACCCTAAATTTTATGTCTTCTAACGACAAAGGACCGAATCATTAGTGCCATCTTCTTCCTTAACAATGTCGTGTCTTTTGGGATTTGAATTGGAAACATATTACCTAACTGTTTGAAGGGTTTCTAAAGTAATGAATATTAAACGATCGACAGGCAAGGGCGGTCGCTTAGAAGAGGCGGCAACCGCCAACAGCGGGCGGTGGCCTCGGCGAGGCGAATCTTGATCATGGCACTCGGTTATCGATGGCAATGGAAGCGACCGATGGCGCCAAATGTTGGGCCAAGGTAACTACGGGCGATGGCGACAACATCGATACTCGGGCAGTGGACCAAATGTGGTCCGCAGGTCAATCGGTGCTGATGGAGGCATCCTCCGGTGCGCAGTGGTTGACTACCGGCAACGAGCCGACCACGATTGATGGGGGGGAGGGATGGAGGGGTTTGATTAAGACGAAATGAGAAGTGCGAATTACATTTCGTTGAGGTCATCTTCCTAAGATTATGAATTGAATTACTTTTTCAAATTGGTTTCGTGAACGGTAATTTAAAGATACCTTAAACAATTAGAGACCACATTTTTTTCCATAAATTGCTTTTCACCCACGGGAAAACAATTTCATTTTTAACTCGGTACAATTACGTTTACGAAGTTAGTCTTTGTTGCCTTACCTACACTTCCATTTGATCAAATAAAACGTAGAAGAAATTGGATGAACTTGCTAATCATTGGACAGATTTGTCTTTGTACAACAAGAAGAGTACTGGACCTTCTTTATATGGCTTCTGAAAACGAACATGCCATGCGAAGAGAGGGAACTATACCTTTCTCATTTACAACAGGGCAAAGTTCAAAATATTTCGGGCATGTTTGTATGCGCTTCAAACGTTGAAAACAATTCTTCGGTTGTCCGCCGAAAACTCGAATTTTCATCTAAATTTCGAGAGAGTATATTAAAAGTATATGTAAATTCACGTGCAAGTATTTTTGAGTCACGAAAAAGCCCGAGTGCATTCGCAATAAGATTCGAATTAAGTAAAAAATGAAAAGCAAAAGTATACCCAAATAAGGGTGTAAATTAGGAATTAAGTTCCAGCAAAAGGTTTGTATACCTTTTCAGCATCAACATGGACTTGCTCGAATGTTCCCTACGATAAAGAAAAGACAAGATAAGAGAAAGAAGAAAAGCAACATCGTCAATATCAGATGCTGCTTGCTTTTGTGAAAGATGCCCCCACCTGTGGCTCTTGCTCTTTTATCAGGCATATGTTCCTTGGGAAACTGCTCCTTCCCTCCTACTATGCTAAGGGAAACTAAAATAAAATGAAAAATCCCCAGATAAAGCAGAATGAGAGTATTCTCTCCCAAGCATTACCGTCAAGATGATGATAACCGCGCATCCTCAATCCAATCAAAGACAAGCTCTCTATGTCAAACCGAATGGAATTATGTCCTCGTGACTAGATCTCAAGAGATTACAGTCGAACCTCATACTTCTCGAAACGTCCCGATCCTTTATCAAGTTCTTTTAGCATGGCAGCAAAGTCCAAGGAAAAAACTTCGACCACACAGCAATTCAACTGTCAAGTTAAGCCAACTTGGCTGCTTGATGTATCCACGTACTCATTCAACCATTGCATTTGCTCAAATGCCCTAAAGACTGATACCCGCCAATAAGATCATGATTGAATACAATATGATGAACTGTGTCCGTCAAATAATATTTGATCATATTGTTTTTTTCTCAACAAAATGTTTCACCGTATCCATCCACTTGATAAACTCGGTTTTATCTTTATTCGCCATGTACTGATGCATGAAAACTGCAAGTTCATCATCTACTCCTCTCTCTTCCAGGAAATCATAAAGTGCATCCTGCAACTCATCATCCAATTCCCTGCAAATTGAAATAATCACTGACCTGATAGATCACAAAATCAAACTTTTCAAAGACAACACAAGCAAATTCTTATTCAAGCCAACAAATGACAGCATTGCCAAAATTCCTTCTCCTTCCATATAGAATTTGCAATTCAGAACTAAATAAAATAAGAAGAAAGAAATTGACATACTTGAATCCAGGACCAGTATACAAGCCAGATGGCATTCTTTGACAACCACGGACAAGAAGTTTGTTTATCTCGATACTATCGGGCCAGGCAGAGCACATGATCTCCAAGACATTACTGCCTTTGTCCTTCGTGATATTGACAACGAAAGAAATATGGAGTTCCACATCTTCTCCAAGGCCGCCAGCAGTTTTCGAGGCAGGAATAGCTCCATCAAACATGGTGGCTTCAATGTTGATATCTTCATTCCCCCCAAATTTTCTTTTCAATCTAATCCATTGCTCTCCCGGCCGGTCATCAACTGTGAAGGGCCCAAATCTATCCACTGGCTGTGGAAAAGGAACTCATGTTAGACCCGAATCAGAAATAGAGTCTTCCCTCCCCACTATCTTTCAAAAGAAAGAACATCTGTCATTTATCAGACAGTCCAGAGTTTCTTAGAGCATGTACAGTTCCAGAAGTGACTTCAGAAAGGGCCAGTTATCAAGAAACCCCATTGACTTTAGACCAAAATTGCGGATTAATCTCTTGGATATCTCAGGATTATTCTGATAATCGTTGTCACTTGTCATGAGTTATCTCAGAATAATAAAAACGTAAGAGATGTCATTTAAATTTACGCCAAATTTAGGACAAGTCGCCACCATTTAATCCTTCGATAAAATGAAATGGTTGTCAAATTGGTCAGCCAATTCAATGACAGCTTACCAAAGACTAGAGGATTGAACGCCAAAGCAAAAACTACATTGCCATTGAAATCAATCATAAAATCGTAAATCTGGTGCATCTTAAAAAATCTCCTGTTATTGATTGAAAACATTAGTCATGCTTTAGGGTAATTGCAACTACGAGCAAGCCTTAATACACATTGGTTCTTGAATCATCTAGCGAACAGATAAGCAAGGACAAATATGACAAGGAAGAGGCTCCCTTGTTTTGAGACCAAACATGAGATACCATGTCTGGCTAAGTATTCAGTGTTCCAATCAACCTAAGAACCCAAGATCTAAATTCAATTATTTAACCATTGATGCAAGTCAGTTTAAGGTACAAATCCTCCCAAATAGGAGGTCAAATTGCAAAAGTCCCATTCATAAGGAAAAAGATGGGTATTTTAATGTACGATGAACATGTCCTGCTGTAGATCAGGAAACAGATAAGCTTCCAAAGAATCTAGATTCAAACCTCAATTCTCCCATGAAGAGAGAAGCATAAGGGCAACTAGAAGATAAGCTAAATTATACAAAAGGCTGAATAAAGTTGATTGCAGTCCACATGGAGTGACGTTTTCTTTCGCATTGGTGTGCTAATTGCTAAGTAATACATTCAAAACTTTTAGTAAAGGACCACCCCGGAAGATATCAGTTGTATAAATCCAATCCCCTCAACAGTGAAAGGAACCGACACGACCAATTCCCCAAGACAGATTGTCTCCTACTCTCGTTTCAAGAAAGCCCAACCTCCACATTCTTGAAAGGATCTTTCGAAACCTTACTCTTAAACAAGAGAAATTAGCTTTGAACTGACTCTATCCAGTCCATTGAACATTGACGATATGAGATATTGTCCTAACCAACCCATCTAGGTCTTTCCCAAGAAAGCACATCAGCCTAGTAGTGGTACATAGATATACCCTCGGCCAATCCTGCAGAGAGTCTCCCATCAACTGTACTAATCAAAGAGCGAAAGCTGCATAAACCCCGCACGAATTCTACACGCTCCGCAACGGAGCCCGACTTCCTCGATCAAATTCAGCAGCTGAATCCAGAAACAACTACACTATCTTCCTCTTGCGCGCGCGCGCGCACACAGAAATCCCCAAAACATCAAATTGGCCAGCTTCTTCACATTTAAGACAAGTTGTATGAACAATTTCGCCGTTACCGCGCAAACGGACCAAAATCAAACATCTACACCACACCAGCAAAGAACGAAATCAAAAACCCAAAAAAAAGAAAAAGGAAAAAAAAGGCACGAGTGCACTTACTACCTTGGCAGAAGGCGCGCGTTCGAGCTCGCACTGGATCTCGTTCCTTAGGAGCCTGAGGATGTTGCCTTCGAAGGCGGACTTGCGCATATCCGAGATGTAGGATCGAGATGGCGCCCGACGGGCGCGACCGGGAGGCGGCGGGTGCCTCTCCGACGGCGCGCGAGGAGGGGACGAGTGGAGAGACCTGTGGTGCTGCTGCTGCCGACGCCGCTGCACCACCGGAGGCCTCGGGAGGCGCGACGGCGGGCCGGCTAGGGTTCCGATGAGGCGGCGGAGCGAGCGGGCCGCGGCCATCGGAGGCGAAGGAGATGGCGGTTTGGGGGGAGAGGTTCGCAGGCTTTTTTGTGTAGGGTTTAAGCTCCGACACAGCTTGCGCACCGCCGCTACTGCGATCGCCGGTGGAAAAATTAGTACAGGCTCGTCGCACGTGCGCATTTCGCACGAATCCGTTTGGGCAATTTTGTGGGAAATCATTGAAAAAAGGAAAAGTTAATACCACGAAAAACCTATGCCAAATTTACGTCAAATTAAAACTCTCAAACTGGTACATTTGTAATAAATTTACCCATTGTTAATTTCCGTTAAATTTGATTTACATCGCGAAAAACTATAAATCGATACACCTGTGATAAACGGAGAGTAAAACCCCAAGGCACGTGTCATTCAACTCTGACGGTAAAATTTAACGGAAACTAATGGATGATAAATTTATTTTTAGAGTACGAGTTTGGGATTTTCGGTGATTTTAAGTAAATTTATCAAAGATATATCAGTTTGGGGTTTTTCATAATGTTAACCTCTAAAAAAAATAAACATGTGAGTGAGGGTCACGACCCTATCTTAGAACTAGCGATTTGGCCCACACACTAACCCTCACCTGTGATCGGCGAGTGTCGCTGGCCATCTCAATGGCCCCGCTAATCCTATTCGGTGATGGTGGGGCCGTGGCGACACCCCATAGGAGAGGCATGTCTTGTGGGCTTTTTTCCTTTCTTTTTTTTTTTTACTTTTTGCCTTTTTATTTTTAAAAATTGTAATTTAACCAAAATATGTGCTAAAAAAATTAGGATTTGAATCAAAACTATATCGTTTTAGCCTTATCCTCCATGCTTATTGCCATGTAAGAGAGAAAATAAAAAAAAAACCACATCAATATTTTTCATTAACTGAGTTGGATAAAGTTGACGGAGACTTAATTCTATTAATTTGACAAATTTCATGACTTAACTACACTTTGTGAAAGTTTCAGAACTCCATTGCACAATATAAAATTTAAGACCTGCAGTGCGCTTATCCAAAAAAAAATAAATCCTCGAGATAGAGAGAGAGAGAGAGAGGAGGAAGAGGAGGAGAAGAGGGGCCAAGTGGAAAGAAGATCAGAACATCAAGGTCCATTTCCTTCCCGCACACGCCATAGAACTCATTAGCTTTGACAATCATCTTTGGCATGAGGTGCCAAGAGGAGAGGATCCCTTGTAGCATGCTTTTCGAGTATGCAAACTTAGGTTTCTTCCATTTCTCTCATATGTTTGACGAGGCGGCCGCGACGATAGCGCTTACACCTAAGCCGATCGAGGCACACCAGATCGTCACCGGTTCTAGGGGGCATCGCCGCGGCCACTCGGCCTTCCACCCCCCTCTCTCTCTCTCTCTCAATCTTCTCATTCCTTCGTTGCTATTTTCGTTGCTAGATGATTTCTTTTAATGATGCGACGACCGATATCATGCCATGCGCATACATGTAGTTGTGTTTGTTTTTTTGGTCGATACGTATACATGTAGTTCAAGGCAAGTAGATAGTCATACATAGATGTCTTAAATGCGCGTCATGTGCGAGTTAATTAAGCAAAGACCATTAAAATCGGTTATTGAGCATATGTCCCAACTTTAAGCCGATAAAATATTTTTTGAAACTATTGATCAAACATGCATCCCAAGTGCCCGATGACCATGAGGGGAAATTTTTTGAGATAAGTGCATTAGAAGTTCTAAAACTTATCACGAAGGTGCAATCAAGTCCTAAAACTTTCAAAAAGTGCAATTAAGCCTTAAAATTTATCACAAAAGTGCAATCGAGTACTAAAACTTTCAAAAAGTGTAATCAAGTCTTAAAACTTGTCGCAAAAGTGAAATTGAGTACTCAAACTTTTAAAAAATGTAACCAAGTTCTAAAACTTATCAAATTGGTCCAATCAAGTTTTTCGATTGATTGCGCTTTTTGAATGTTTTAAGGCCGATTGCACTTTCGTGACAAATTTTAGGACTTTATTGCATTTTTAAAAAAAATTTATGACTCGATTGTACTTTTGTGACAAATTTTAGAACTTCCAATGCACTTATCCAAATTTTAAACACAAAAGGCGGGCCTTCCCCCTATCATCGGCTTTCAGAATTCTTCAAAGGAGTCATGATTTGAACCATCCATGTTGCATCGCTAAAATCATCATTTCAAAACTTAAACTACAAGCAGAAGCTAGAGGGCTGTGGGAATTTTTTATTCCTAGAGGCCCTACTTGATTTAGGTGGAGGATGGTAGGGATTCGGCTCCTAGAGTTCCTAATTCCTTTTTTTCATCTCATTCCTCTCTTTTACGTACGTGCGAGTGCGGTGCTCACGAGAATCGAATTCCGAACCTAATGCTCTCTGGGCTCACCCCCGAATCCCTTTATCTGTAGGGCCGCATGCCTGTTGGCCTAGAGGTCCGAATTGGTTAAATGAAAATAGGTAGAGATTCGACCCTTAGAAATCCCGAACGATAAAACGAAGGACGATAGGAAACCGGGTCCCGGAGGTCCTAATTGATTGAGCGAAGGGGCGGGAGAGGTCTTAATTGATTCGACATCGTGATCATAATATTTTGAAAAATCATCGAGAGGCACGCGAGGCGCCGAGATTTATAAATTTTGGAATTCGTCGGGCACGCATTCAGCTGAAGTTCAGTTTTTTGGTCCGCATCAATCATTTCGAAAAGACATCGGAAGGCGTGCAAAGCACTGGAAAATCATCAAGAATCACATTTTATCATCATATCATAATAGTCAAATTTAGCCCATTCAATCATTGATCAAGTTAGGAATAGTGCAAAGAACGCTCAAAACATGGGATCGTCAGATCATCCACTCGATCGTGCAGCAGTAGATGGATCGAGCATGTGAATCATCACCAGTCATCGTTCAAATAAACGTGCAAGAAGATGCTCATATCGTTTAAGGACCCGTGACACAAATGCATGGAAAACAACATAGGCGCAATTTAAATGACGTGACAAACAAAGAACACGTTGAGGAGACGCAATCATGCAATTACATGCGAATGATGTAATAACCAGAAGCACGCGCACATGACAAGTCAAAATATGGTTCTTCTGTCGGGAAATTGTCGAATCAGTCTTACATCTATCGTCCGAATTCCAATTCAGTCGATAAACTTTTTAATTTTACCAATTTAGTCTTAAACCTTTGCGAGAATTTCCAATGCAGTCATTCTGACCAGTTTTTGGTGTCACGCTGGACAGTCGGCGATGACTAGACCGTCAGCTATGTCACGTAAGACGGCCGGCGCCCATGTCAACAATTGTCGGCCAGAATTAGCCGGAATGACTACATTGCAAAAAAATTGAAAAGTTTATGATCGAATTGGCATCCGTATAATAGGTTAAGGACTTCTTTAGTAACTTTCCTTTCGGAATTGCGAAATGAAGAGGGGATCCCTTCTGCTTAGCTCAAGGTTCGAAAATGTGTTCAGTCATGCGCGATCCTCGATTAGAACGGGGCTTGCCCCGAGGCTAAGCGGACGCCTTTGGTACTTCCACTGCGAACCCTGCTGGAACTCCACTAGTCATTTGAGCTCGAACTTCTATTTAGCATTGCATATAAGATCGTTCTTACTTTTACGCGGCACTTGGTTTTTTGTGCCTTCAAACACCTTATGACTCCCCGCCCCGGTGTAAGGTGTGACCGTCGTCGATTCGGTTTAGAGAAAAGGACGTTATCACTCCCGTGGTAAATGCACATAACACCTAATGATAAAAGCTATGTGAGCTCAATTTGGCTTGGCCATAATTGAAAATGTGCTCGGGATTGTGAAGTGCCGTTCCTCGTCTCGATGACTGTCACGTAGCTACAACGATTTGTCTTCTCGGAAAATTTCGCCGGCCGTCAGTTCTCGTCTCGGGGCATGGCTACATGACCTGAAGGAACTCACGAGAAGGCAAAATCGCCGGGGAGCCACATTTCGAGTTCGGTCGATGACACCAGTCGAAGACGACCCTTGTTCAGAGCGATCGTTTCCAGTTCCATTTGTTTCGAAGATTCGTCCTTCCATCGAAAGCATCTCTAGAGTCGGATCTCGAATCTCTTTTTTGGCCTTTTCAAGAGCGAGTGCGATTAGGACCCCATTTCTCATTGCGCCCTCTTCTCTTCATTCTTCCTTCTTTTTCTCTTATATGCAAAGATGAGAGAACCTCAGACCTATGAGTACTTCAAAAACACAAGCGGCACGAGCAATGGATAACGAGAGAGGTCGAGGGTCGGTGTAAGCAAAAAGCGAACGAGACGCAACGACCAGGAATTAATGCGTGAAGCGATCCATTGAAGTGTGAAGCATTGTGGTTAGCGGTCGCTGCCTTCATCATACGGAAACAATTATGAGGGGCTAATCATTAAAAGAGTTAGATGCTAATTTAGTTATAAATATTTTGATGATTTGTAAATATAATCAATTCGGTCAATTTTGACAGGAAACTATAAACTTGGACACAGGCCGTCCCACGTGGACCGTCGGCGTCGACATGTATAATTTTTACAAATAAATTTCCAAATTATTTTCTTTATTTTCTTTTTTTCATGGCAGTGTCCTCGCCTAATCCAGAACTGCGCGAGCCCTCGTTGTGGCCAGCGAAGGCGTCGTGGCCCTCACCCAATTTAAAATTTTTTTTGCAGAGAAACTTAGAAAAATAAAAGAAATTGCAAAAAGTGTCCACATCGAAGCTGGATGTACCACCGCGTGAGACCGACACGGTCGACGTCCACGTCAGCAATTTTCTTGCCAATTTTGGCCGGAAGAACTATATTGGCAAATCGTTAAAAGGATTACCACTAAATTGGCCAAATTGAAAAAGTTCAATATTGAATCGACATTCGTGCAATAAGTTTATGACTATTTTTGGTAATTTTCCCGATCACGAGGGATACCGGGAAATGGTTTTGATAGGGACAGAATTGGCCCCCAGCAAGTCCTGTCAACACACATGCCCCGTGAGATGCTTAGGTGCGACGTCCAAATCATTCCCAATTTTTTTTCATTGGAATAGGCTACCAACTTCCAAACTTTGTCCCCTAAGTTCCCATTTCCATGTAGAATCTGGAAGTCGGGAAAGAAAACGACTCCCTCCCCC